ATTGAAATCTTGGTTTGGAGTTTCTTTGTTTGGTTATGGAGGCGTCTGGCCGAGTGAGTTGCTATCAACTTGACCTTTCCAGGCTCTGAGGAAGGCGAAATTCGCCGAAACGTCAGCTTAATCGTGAACAAAGAATAATAACACCTCGCGTTTGCTCAACAAAAATACGAACAAAATCGCTAGAAATATCCTTTGGGACGTTTAGGGGCTTCGTTTTCCTCTACAGCTATCCCGAGGAACTACAGTTTCGTAGCTTTTAAAAATGGCTGTTTGTTCCGCCAGTTCCAGGAATTCTTCCTTGTATTCTCTTCCTCTGCACACGCTGGTGGATGTTCGAAACATGTTCGTTGTAAACGCTCTTTTTATGTGTGAGGGGTGAGAAGAGAGGTAAAGCGGGGGGGGGGACGAATACGTTGGCGAAACGGGTAGACCACTCTGTGTACGTATAAAAGAACACCTAGTCGCAAACGTAAATCAAATACTCCACTAGGCACGCATAGGACGCAGAGACATAACGGAGAAGATTTTGAAGTAAGGGTTACGATCCTCTCACAATGATCGAGAACACAAGCGCGCAAAACTCTAGAGACATTCTGGATTAATTCCAAGAATCCGAAAATGAACCGCAGGGAGGAATGCCTCATTATCACGCATGATATTGGGCAGTGTATAAGCCTGTTATTTTGATTAGATGGGCACAGTACGATTCCGTGTGAATTCTGTGCGGTCGGCCTTTACACGACATACTCAGTGGAAGGCTCATAGAATGCGGTGAGTGTGCAGAGCTGTGTTCAATGTGATTGAAATTTTGGTTTAGCGTTTTTCCTGTTTGGTTATAGAGGTGTTTGGCCGAATAGATTGCTGTCAACTTAACCTTTCCAGGCTCTGAGGAAGGCGAAATCCGCCGAAACGTCAGCTTGTACGTAAATAAAGAAATTAAGTAACACCTCGTGTTTGCTGAACAGAAGTAGAAAGAATTATTCTTGCAATACTTCATCGAGTTCCGCTGAAGTAACGGGGTTATGATCCACCATGCTTAATCCATTTCCAAGCTTAGCTTGCCTCTCTGTCAATTCTGTTAAAAATGACTGTAGGAAACAGATTGTAGACGGCAAACCTAATCTATCCTTAGTTGCCGATGCCGTGCAGGTTTCCTCAACATGGTGCTGTTGGCTTTGTTTTAACTAGGAACCTTACTGAGAAGTAGCGTGTAGAAAGCCGAGCTTGTTTGCTGATCGGGTTGCGTGCGACTTTTTATGGTTCCACATGAGGGGATAATACAGTGAACTTTAGAAAGACGAACTATTAGAACAACATATCGACCATCACTGTTATAGCGGCAGATGTCAGCTATTTTGTTTCCGTAATTGGTGAACTCTCGAGGAGCATTGCCGACTCTTTTCTCAGTCGTTACAACTTCAATAAGTATCGTCGTTTTTGCCGTTAATGCCTTCTTTTATAGTTTCTGCGCTTGATATTACAAGATCGGACATAACTAGATAATTTCCAACGAAATAAACTATCGAAACGTTCTTTACAATTGTTTGCTCTTACTTAGGCTTCCAGTTTACCAAGAAACTCGAACTCTTGGCTTCATTAGTAGAAGCGCTAGCAGAGTAGACGTGGTTTTTCAGGATCATAGGAACGACCACTATGAAAGGGTCAGCTTTTTTAACATAGGACTGTTAAGGATCGCTAGTCGTACGAAATGTGGAATACTTGATAATATTAATGATTGTGCTTCAACTGTGTGTTCATTGCCCAAATACTCATACAAGAACAAAGGTTCTGTAAAAAACTTTAAGCAAATATATCATTAAGATCTTTGAGAAATTGAAGGAATGAATGTGACGTAAGATCTCGTAGATAAATGACTGTTTAACAAAATAATTATGTTACGGCTATTCTACACTGGTGGTACGGCAGAGCATTCGAAGATTTTGCAAGCATTACATGGAAGGAAAAAAATCCGACTCTTGCTCAATATTAGTTACAATTGAATTAAAGGGAAGATACATATTAGAAGATTAATCTACAACTCATCAGCATATACACGATCATCTGATTCATATAACAACCAATCTTTGTTGATGTTGTCAGTAAACGTCAATACTTTTGAGAAGCTAAAGCGAACATTGTTTGCGGGATGATGGATATCTCCTAAAATATAAGGGTCTCTTAAAATAACCATAAAATGCATAACAAGTTCTCTCTCAGCTGATATCACAGAGAAATTGCCAGATAATGGTTTTAATTTGACAATTTAAAGTGGGGTGATAGATAAAATACGCCAAAAGACCAACTGGTAGTCGAATATCAGTCGTACTACAACAAACCTTCATAATCGCTCATAACATTCGTTAGCAGATGATAATGTAGCTGGATTGGCTTCTTTAGAGGAACCTAAATGCACACTGGCGTATGACCAATGTTGGATAAATAGAACAAATATTAATATAGTCAAAATGTATTTGGGCTACCGAAAAACCTCTGTAGCGCGCTGGTGAGCTGGCCTGCAATACACAGGATCTTTGGTTCGATCCCGCACCCCTGCTAAATCAACCCTCATCTCTTCGAAGCTAGAAATAGGTATTAGAGTTGTCTGGAAGAGTAAATAGACCGTCTTGATATATCGATATTCTCCAACCAGTTGTTTCATAGGCTAAATATGCATTAAATCACTTCAGCAATACTAAAGAGCCGAACGGTTGGCTCATCCCTAAAGGGTCGGTTAACGCCGAATACTTCTTTAATGATGCTGAGATATTTGCAAAACTCCGGACTGCAGGTGTCTGCGGTGGGGAACGAACGCGCTATTGTCCTTTCCGGGAGTTACGCGTTCACCACCTCACCATGCGGGTCCTTCGTTTCGCCTGTCTCTCAGCTAGTTCTATTGATCTTTTGCCATCAGCAATCACCCGTCAGCGGAATTGATCTGGGAGCCCAAATCGGCAACGAACCCACTTAAGCTGAGGCTACAGTTATAATCACTATTTTAACTTATTATTTACTGATTACTCTTTTTAACGGCAGGGTATATATTGCGAAATATAACTTTAACGATGTTGAGATATTTTGTTCGGAGTAACGTACCGCACTCAAACCCTCTATGAAGAAACTCAGTGTTAGTGAACCACCCAATGTTAGTCAGCAAGCACGTTCCGATAAATGAACACCTTTGATTGCAAGAGTACGGATAAAGTTCTTGTAGAAAAAATGCATAGGGAAAGGAGAAAACTTTAATAAGGAGACGACAGGAAATGAAGAAGAACGACTAATGTCCTTGCACGGGTTTGAAATCTTTTTACAAAGATTTTTTTACATAAACGAAGACACACTCTTCGGCTTGGTCCATGTTGCAATGTGGGCACGATTGTAATTCATTAGTGTCGTTTATGCATTTCGATGAATTTGGAGAGCTTGGCAAATTCTCAATCTGCAAAAGGAGTTGGGATAAAAACTGACATTTAGTATGTTTATTTTACTTATTCTCTTTGGCATACCTTCAAATTTTCCAGCTTTTCCACTGGGAGAACACCATTCTTGATGAAGTAGGAGGTGATTTGTCTTGGTATTTGATAGAGTGATTTTTCTGATAACGTAAAACTCGAGTCCTCCACAGATCCATCACATTCAAGTAGAACTCTTGTCATGTCAACGAACTGTAACAAAAATGTAGCGCTCTGTTATTAAGTATTAAGAATACCATGAATATTGGTTTTAACATGAGAAGCAAGTATACCGCTAGTTGCTGGAATTTGCCGTTAATCCGAAAGGTTTTGAAAGTTGCACTTCAAATATTATAGTGTCAAAAACGAACAACGCTGATGAGGATTTGATGTTCTCATGGTAAAGACGGTGATAACCGTTTATTATATATTGAACAACCAAACATAGCCGTTCAGTGGTGACCGACCAATCAGAGCAGGTTTGCAAGCACAACCAACCAACTCACAAAAGGAAAGGAATAAAATACGATTTGTTTATTTTTCCAACATGTAACAAAATTTCTGTGCAAAAATTGTCAGGACTTAAAAATATTACTTTTCCAGATATTGTGAGAAAACTAAGAGACTTGTCAGTGAGCTATTTCACCTGTAAATTATCACGATCACTTTTCCGTCCATGAAACGTCAAACGGCTACCACCGCTGCCAAGTCTTTCGAGTTCGCTCAAATTTCGATCACCTATTCCTAAATGCGGAAATTTTCATAAATGATTGCAATTGGGTTATTTATTTGTCATTGGGTTAACGATTTCCGAAGCACGTCCACTGATTATGACGATTGAGCTCGATTTCTTCGATTAGGACAGATTTGTTTACCATGGTAAAATTTCGATTAGAAATTAATCTCACTCTGAACTGCTTGGGCTATTTTGGACAAGTTCCGTTGTTTCAAGAAGTTATTACATTTTAGTGTGTACTATTTGAAATGTGAAGCTCTTCGCACGAAGCAAGCTTCTGTTTTTAAACCCAACAGCCGGTGGCAAAGAAGACGGTCGGTTTCAACCCGCGTTCAACTACCTATTTATCGTTTACCAAGCACGGAAACTGGCTGACTGAGAATTTATCACATGACAGTTAACGGAGGTTTCAGATAATTCTGCAGAAAACCTATAGAATTAGACCTCGTTCCTCCATTCTTCTCATTGACGCTAAACAACAACGGCAGTGCAATGGAAATAAAGTCTTATGATAGATGTGAAAGAGTACAAAGATGTAAGCGCGTGATATTTGCAAAAATCCGGACCACACGTTTCTGCGGTAGGGAACGAACGCAGTACTACCCTTTCCCGACTCTACCGCGTTCACCACCACACCATGCGGGTCCCTCGTTCCGCCTGTCTCTCAGTTACTTCTATCGATCTTTTGCCATCGGCAATCACCGACGAGAGTGATCTGAGGAGCACAAATCAACAAGTAGATTTTTATGCTCTATTTTCGTCACGTTGTCTATGACACTTGGAAAAGGTCACGTAATGTAAGTGTCTAGCAACTGCTAACCTGTGAAAATAATAGATATTGGTGATTTACTGGCAAATATCGCGGCTTGAACAGTCTCTTTAATATCGTCAATGGCACCTCTTGTTATAATATTCAGAATATAGTACTGTGGGCGGTTATGGTCCGATCGCGTTGTGGCATTTTGAGCACTTCTAGAATTGCACTACATCATAGGAATACCGCATCGTCCGCAATAGAACAACTTGGGCTGTTTAGCCGAATATTCATTCCATCCATACTTAGCAAGGTGGTAGATTACATGCGCAAAATGTGCACTGGTGCACGGTTTCGTTTTCATGTAGGTGCTTCGGAACGCCGTCACCACGCCTTCAACACCAGTACAAATAGGATCGGTCTCAAGGTTCTGAAATGGGTGCGGTAAAAGTGAGCAACACACTAACTCTGCTCTTATTTTAAAGAAAATAACACAACTAGTATCCCTACATTTTAAAAAAATTCCAGTAATCTGTAAATATGGTCTTCGCCGGCGGCAGAGCCCAGTATTTTACTTACTGACGTCTTCTGATCAAAAATCATAAAAATGAAAGGCTTCATATAAAAAGTGTGATAAAATTTTTGCTCCTATGCTTCACTGAGTAAGTGTCCCAGGACAACACTTTCTTTCTGTGGAGTCCAGTCCAAACAGGTAGTTTAGTGGTACTCTCATACTCGAGTCCCTTGATGGTTAAAGTGATCAGAAGTGTTGATACTTATAAAGAACACCATCGAAAATCACTCGTCTACAGTTCTGACTAAAAAAGTGTGACCCTTCCAGAAAATTTTTGGTAAAATACGAATTTACATTTCTAAACTAACCAGGCAAAATTCGTGTGACTCTCGATAGAGTGGTGGTATACGAGCTCCAAACCCATATGCTAGGAAGCTGTCGGTTCTGCAAGAAAGTGTTTCAAGTGGTTTCATTTGAATTCATGGCCAGGATACCTGGTATAGTCGGCCAAAGTTTCGCCGATAGATCGAATAGCGAATTCAACATTGTTGGCGAAGTCGATCTGTGCTTGCCGATCCTCTGTTACATCAGCGTCAGAGAAATCGATGGCAAAGGCGAAATTCAAAACGGTGCTGAAATTTTTGAAAAATATATCTCTAAGCATATTATATCTAGAAAATATATAGACAACACTCTGTTTTAGTAAATTCTGAAATAACTGTCTCCGGTTGACACGCGGTAGATTTAGGAACTAATCGCTTGACTTGAATTCGTATTTATTTTTGGACTTTAAGCAGGATTTAATTGCCTATAACAACCTTAAGAGCTCCCTGTGCTGCACCAGACGCATATATTACTCACCCGAATGTCAAATAATCCAAGAAAGAGAAAGTTTTCAACTCAGTAAATTTAACCAGGTCAAATTGTCCACATGTCTTCTGGCCCCCTTTGTATACTGGATTAGTCAACTGAAACAGAACCACTTTTAATACAAAAAGGTAGAAGAGGAAATTGTTGCCAAATTATCTGGACGAACCATAAAAGCCTTTTTGGTTTCACGCATTTCTTCATATGTGGTGCTAAAGTGTCCAACGGCGACATTTCGACATTTGTCATCTTTGAAGTAGCACACAACTTCAAGTGGCCTATAAAAGTTGACTTCATGCAGCCTGTACGATCGCGAAAACTTTCTCTGACACATAATATGCTTTCTCCACAGCTTTTGCCAAAAACCTACACAATTAAATTAAATTAAAGGGGCTAGTAGACCAGCAGTTGGTGCTTATTCAATACCAACTGGCACTGGTTGACTCTCCCGGTGTCCTGCGAACCCTCTAGATCGGGAATTTGGGGCTAGACTCTTCTGGAATTAGCTGGCTTTCTTAAATTCACAAGAGCTGACGATTGCCTATGACGAAGATCTAGGAGTATCCTGGAATATTTATTCTACGATTTCAGAGAGAATCAACTCTACCGGCATACAACCACATTAATCACGATGATCCAGAAATGGCGCGTTCGTTTCCCAGCGCAGACACCTGAGGTCCGGAGTTTTACAAATATTTCAGCTTCACTGTGGCTGTATAACATGTAAAATACCCTTCCATAAAAAACTGTAATAGGCAGTAAATAAAAAGTTAACATTATCTCCAACTATTTTACAATGTTGTTTAAATTTATTATCTAGCTAACATTTAACTAATGGTTAACAACAATTTGGACTGACTTTCTGAAAAGTTTTCGTCTCCACTTTAAAAACAAACTAGTGATAAAACATATTAGAGACAACAGGTGTATGCAGTAGGGAACGAACACGCGCTGTTGTCCTTACCGGTGAGCAGCGCACTTCACCACTACACCATCCGGGTCCCGGTAAGGACAACAGCGCGTGTTCGTTCCCCACTGCATACACCTGTGGTCCGGAGTTTTGCAGGTATCTCAGCATTTCGTACGAGTTATATTTCACAACATACCCTGCCATTAAGAAGAAAAAGGCAGTAAATAAAAGAGTTAAGATATTAGAGACAATATAAAACGAATCATATAAAGGATATGAAAGGATTAACCGTTTGACATTGATCAGTCTCTGGGGAAGGCGTCATGCATTCGTCTACTCTCTTAGCATAGTAGAGGTGATTGAAGGCATATTTGACCTATACAGTAACCTACTTGCTGTGGTCTTCCGGTTTATCAAGTCGATAGTCCTATTTTCTACCAGAAAAGTCTGGTTTCATTCTCTTCACCCCGTATGGAGGTAGATCTCGTAGAGCGCAGAGCGAGGGAACGAACTAGCGATCACGTGTGCACCGCAGAGCACCCCTAATTGTGGCCCCACATGAACCCTTTTGTCATAGAGTCATACAGTATTTTTATTTCGTGCTCTTAACTTTTCGCTTTCATACCCTATAAATAGTGATTTGTGACGGATTCGTCAGATTTGAGAGATTAGTAAGTCAGTGAGCCAAAGGCTTGCAAGAGATTTTATTAAATAACAATATGGTGAATTTAGCTCCACGCTTACATACCGCAATCTCCCTTCAACGTTCTCTTGACCATTAACGGTGAAAGGCTTCCAAACCGTCCGTGCTCCCTGTTTTAACGGCTCGCTCTTGTACAGTAACGTTTTGTTACCATTCGATTCACAACGACTCAATTCGAATAACAACTATAAAATCATTCATCGAGAAAAACTTGCGTCAGCTAGAGTGAACAAATGAATAGATCATACAAGTACAAATACAATGCATCTTAAAAGATTTCTGAAGCACATTTGTCTTACGAGGTGCTGTTGGTCGATCTCGTTAAATTATGGTCAACTTCGAGGTTTCCAAGAACCATTTCATCTAGTTTAATGTAGCAAGAACGCCATCATCTCTATCGAAGAAATTGTCGCCATGGCGTTTTGTTGGATCTCTAGCCCATTCCGCTCCATAGTGACATTAGAGTGTCACTTTGTGTTTTGTGGGTTCCAGTTTATTCTTCCGGGCCATGTATACTCATTCGGTAGCTAATCGAAAGCACATTAAAAAAGGTAGGGATGGGATCAAAAAAGCCACTTCGTACTTTGCCATATACAGAAAGACCATTTTTCGATAAAGTCCGTTTGCCGGTAATTTTGCTAGCAATTAATTGTTACTTCATTCTAATCTCTATTATAAACAATGGCAATTTTGTGAAATGTGTCTTTATAAAGAACGCTGAAATAAACTTCACATAAGCTGTAAGGCACTTCCAAATGCATATGTCAATGTATTTGCATAACGGACTGCAGTAACACATAGCGAATAGTAGCAGCCATATCATACACACTCAAAAACGATTGAACAAACTTTCTTCTGCAAACCTGTTATGTTTTAAACCCTTCAAGTCCTCTATTTATTGAAGAAATATTTTTCAACGCCAAAAAGGCGGAAAGTCCGCAGCCGACGGGAAATTGCGTGTGGTCCGTTGGGCAAGCTGCGAAATGCGGTAGCTGTGGTGAAATAAGTTAAGCTCTTTTTGAACTGTCTAATAATACTGCCTTTAATTACTAAGGAATTTTCTCAGTTGATGATGTCTCTGCCATTACTTGATTATTTGGACTGAACTGAAAAGACTGCTGGTGTGTAACGTCTACACAAACAACTGGCAATTCCTTCGTAGGAAACAAAAAAAAAGTAAATAGGATGATTAGAGTGATTTCCTCATGAAAGGAATTTTTTAGTTCTACGGAAGCCAAATTGGTCTAGTGACCAACATATTGATAAAATCGATAGTTTCTTACCGCAGCAGACTCTGGGAGTGTTTTTCGAGAGAAATTCTTCCCCTCGAATTGAATGAGTAGCGGTGTCGATTTCGGCTTTACCGTTGACGCTATGGTCATCTGGCCAACACCGGCACCTGTACCTTCGTTACTAAATAACGAAGACTGTCCACCAGTTTAGAAATGAGCCAAAAGTTGATTTTTTTGCACTCCATTAGTTGTAGAATATCTTACTTTAAGTTTTTTACAACCACTCCCAACAGTACAATATCCGAAATCAAGAAGTAGGCGCACCCAAGCGGTGTCACTTCGCTTTCTGACCGTGAGCATCTGAAAGAAGTTACGAGGCTTTGGCATACTCATTATAAAAAACAAGTTCCAGTTTGCCACAAAGACTACACAAACATTGAAAATGGCTGTAGAAGATGGTAAATTTTGTTATAAAAATAATCATGATGTTGATCTTTGTGTAGGAGCGATCACTTAGAACGTGGATACAGACGTTCCGCTCTTTCTTTTAGGTGATATTTCGTATTCAATAGTCTTACATAAACCTTTACCCACGACACCTTAATATATTTAATCATTCAATTACTCCACAGAGCTGCCACGACCGACTTTCTATTAACCTCGGCATTGATCAAGTGATTTTCTTCGTATTTTTGTTGAGCAAACGCGAGGTGTTACTATTCTTTGTTCACGATTAAGCTGACGTTTCGGCGGATTTCGCCTTCCTCAGAGCCGCTTCCTATGAGGTTTCCACTAAGTATGTCACGTAGAGACCAACCGCACAGAAATCACGTGGAAGTATAATGTGTTACATTACATTGAAGGCGAAATCCGCCGAAACGTCAGCTTGATCGTGAACAAAGAATAATAACAGCTCGCGTTTGCTCAACAAAAATACGAAGAAAATTACTCCACAGAGCATAGACAAAGGCTGCATTCATCCCCTTTGCCATCAAAGTTCCTTCAGGGAGCTCCGCTTACTTAAAGGTCATGGAAGGTCATCATCACATTTCTCGTTCAGAGCCCTCAGGAAGAACTTTAACTACTTAGGCGTCGGTTTTATTGTTGTGTGCTCAACATTTCTTCGGAGAGATTCGTAACCGCTCTTGTCTAGAACTCGATACGGCGCATTATTTCTTTAGCTCATCTTATTTTCAATAGTTTTACTTATACAGTAGCATTTGAGAGGTTGATCGCCAACATAGGTCTATATTGCGAAACCGCTCCATCATATGAGTGAGCAGTTGCTGCTAGGGCCACAATCTCCACAACATTGACAAAGTAGCCCTTCTTCTAACCGATTTCTTATTGCCTTTTAAATTTCTGCATGATGTCTTTGAAAGTGGCGCTGAATAATTCTGAGATGGTGCCACTTCGCTGGATCCTCTCGTTAGGAAAGTATTGGGCTAATTTTAGAATGGGAAAATCCTTATTGTGAATGTACCATGTACATCATGACCGTCGTAGGCTTCAATGGCCATTTGAACAAATTCTACTTCTTCCTTGATTTGAAGTGACGTTTAAGATAAAACATACCTTGCACTTCTTATTCTAGTAACACGTCAGTTTAACTCAACCTTATTTTCACTACCATGTGGATGTGAGCCAGCTCACTAAACTCTTTGCGAAGCTAATTTTACTAACTTATCGGCTGTTCGTATGTTTTTCTGTCAATCCTTTTAAGGATTACTCTTTCATACAGCTTTTAGAAGACAAACAGCCGACAAACCAGGTGGAGATTCTCTATATAGAGCAGGTTTGTTTTGTACCAAGACAAGGTTAGACAATGGATGATGATCTTTTTTGATTTTTTTGACGTCATATTAGAACATGTTTCAGCACGGTAACCATTTCTTATTATTCTTTTCGGAGACTAACAAGTTCACCACCACACCATGCGGGTCTTTCGTTTCGCTTGTCTCCCAGCTAGCTCTATGATCTAGCCATCAGCGATCACCTGCCAACGGAATTGAACTGGGGAGCCCTTGAACTAGTTGAGAGACAAATAAAACAAAGGACCGGTATGGTGTGGTTGTGAGCACGTTAGTCCCTGGAAAGGGTAATAGCACGTTCATTCCCCACCGCATACACCTGCGATCCGGAGTTTTGCAAATATCTCAGCATCAATGTGGTTGCATTTTGCATCATACCCCGCCGTAAAAAACATAATAGGCAGCAAATAAAAAGCTGACGTTATCATTTTTATTAGTTGCGAATTCTGTGTTTATAGGGATGAACCCTCCCAACGGTTTACCGCCCCATCGTGGTTGGGAGGTATTCTCGGGCTTCGGGCTGCGATGTGCAGCGGGGTAGATTCATCTCCCCACAGTCTCACACAGGGTCTCGCAAACTGAGGAGTCCGGCGCTTCCATCAGGAATCCCAGCTAAGAGTAAACCAATACCAGGATCTGTCACCGTCTTGGTACCAAACTGGTCGCATGGTGGCAAATCTCCCTCTGACCCACAACGGCGGCGGCTGCCTGTGGTGGTGATGACCTGGGGCAGATTTTAGCTAGGTTGGCCTCAGAACTCCAAGGAAACAGAATGGCTAAGCCAGCACAACTCTGAAAAGTGGAGAATATGCTGGCGTCCGCACAACTAGTGAGGGTGGTCCGTCCAAGGTTCCAAATATATGGAAGAACCATGATAGATATGAGCAAATGTGAAATGCATGGTGCTGGTGTCTGCCCTACACAAGTCAGTCAGTGCAGGAAAATGAAACCAGTGCATAGATGTTTTAAAGAGTAGAAAACTATTCTTTGACCACAATAGCCTTTGAAAAAGTGAAGTGAGATGTTGAGCGTTGATCAGTCTTTTAGAGATATCCCATGCGTTTGACTTCACTAAACTTTACAAAAATGACTTCATGCAAGCACGCAAATTTGATCAAACATTCACTTCGGGGACCTACCAAGGTATCAAGTCAATGTATTTACAAACGCATAGAATCCCGATAGAAATTTGTCGACCTCGGAGGGATGGAGGAGCTGGTCCGCTCAGGCCGCATGATCGAACCCAGGACCACGTGTACACTTTTAACCCTTTCATGACCGCCTGTCATTGGAGCGCTACTGGAATGCGCATTGAAATCAGGATGTACAGTCCCTAAGCCGCCGAAAGACGCGTGATGCACTAGTTTCTTGAGATTGAGACTGCTCGCTTTCCTCACATTTTTCCATGTGTGTCTAACTTCTGCATATCCACTGTGTTTTCCTGTTTATGTTCCCATGTTTTTGGACATCCTTTATGAGTGAGAAAAAAATTTGTCCCTTATTTAACCATGATGATACTAGCTTTCCGAGTGGTTTGGTGTGATCGTTTAAGTGTATTTCTCTGTCTCTTCCATATTTTTTTTATATTTAGCGATTCCACTCCTCCGTCCGAAGCGGTGTTTTGCAAGTATAGCTGAAAATACTTGTTTCTAGACCAGCCCCAGTACAAAATCTGTGTTCGACAAGCCATCAGTTAACCACAATGGGTCGTAAAGTTGTTATGCGAACGAAGAGTAATGCAGCTACGTGAAAATGTTGAAAGAGAAGCAGTTTTGGTCAATCCTGTGCATTAAATAGTTGTTACAATAGAAAAGGCTTAACCCTTGCACTACGCCAGCCATTTTCGCGTGACTGGCCCATCGGAGAGCGCGTCATTGAAGCACACCTGGGGTGCGCATTGAAGTCAATGCGCATGGTTGTGAAAGGATTAAAGCACTACACTTGGCAAACTAGATAAGCGCAGTTATGGCACTACAGTACATAGTGCTTTGTCGCATTGCATTTTCAATAAAAAGATCTGTTCAATCAGTAATAACTTGCTCAGCTGACTTTACGGTGGTGTTTTCTCAGTCATTTCACTAGCATACGAATCCGATTCAAAGAGTGCTGGGATCCGCACTGTGTGACACATGTGATGTCAGGTCATGCAAGAGATCACTAATAAGCAATATCTAAGAAATATAATTCAATGGTATGATGCCTTGAAAGTTTGGGAAGAGTTCAACTACTTCAACCAGCATTCATAATATCGGTGAAACAAATCAGATTCTTAAGCCGTACAGTCTAACCAGCATGCCAACGCAACCAACTTTGTATAAGACGGTTTAAGGAAAACAAAGGGAAGTGAGTAAGTGCTGGAGACCACAGAACGTGTCAGGCTAGGCTATTTCCGTATTTAAGTACGATTCGTCACTGGATGAAAAACGCATTAATACTTGAAGTGGGTTAAAAATGCTATTAAAAATTTTTGAGTCTTCAAACCATAACGAATAAAAATGTTACATGAAAGTACAGAGTCAGACATGTAGTAAATTCCCATATTTTTTCCTTGTTTATAGGATGAAAAATGTCAATATCGACAAGTTGTGCTACCACTATATGGCTAAATATGCAGATAATATTTCGAAACCGACCTTCCCTAAACCTCGGTGTGACTAATCAATATGTATTCTTTCTTGATAAGCTTGCACGAGGTTGATAATATATCGATATATCCACCTTGCACGATATATCCACCATCAGCATCGTGTATAAAAGGGCATCACTGAGTGAGGATGCCTCATTCGAGAAGATGGCTCACTGAGGAAGATCTGGCTCGACAAGAAGGCGAAGGCGCAACGTCGAGGCGAACAACAAGCATGGACCATCGACTCGGATCACCGGCTCTGAGGAAGACGAAGACGTCGAAACGTTAGCCGAAAATAAATATATTTATCAACCTCGTGCAAGCTTATCAAGAAAGAATACATATGCGGGTAATGTTTTGCAGAATAATTTTTTACGTGACGTGACCCGAAATCATGTATCGGGCAGATCCTAGCACTTTTTCCATTCGATTCGTTTCCTCGTATCCATTATCCACGAAGGTTCTCGGATATCCGTGTAAATTTGGCTCGTGTAAATCACGATATGATCTTTTTAATGATCCGCTTTGAATGCTGATTGAGGAGATTCCACCTGGAGTCCAAACACTGAGATGTGAAACTTCGCTGGAGAGGCGGGATCGAACTAATGACCGTGCGCGTGTTCTTGAATGGAGTGCTTAACTCTTGCCGCCCTCTCACTTTACAGTGAAGTATGTTAAAAGTTGAAGAATCAAAAACTTATAATGAAAATCAG